CCCCACCAGCACCCCACCGCCCCGCCCCTGTCCCACGGTAGGGTCGCTGAGCCTGACTTACTGAGGCTGCCCAGCTGCTTGATGATGGCAGCCAGCGTGCTGTTGGTGACACACTCCAGCTCACTCGTCACCCCCTCGGGAAGAGCCCCCCGGCAAAGGTGCCGAGGTTCGATATTCCTCTTCACCAGCGGCATGCTGCCGGCAAGCCCTCACGCCTCTCCTGGGCAAAGGAGAAAAAAAGAAAAAAAGAAGATAAACAGCTTTTGCTGTTTGCCTATTCCCCCCCCCACACCATTGCCTCTGCGTGGGGGACTCATCCTTCCACATTGGGATGTGGAGGATGCAGCCCATGTGGCAGCAGCAGGGCTTTTCCACGCCGGGGGTGCTCCCTGGGTGCAAACCTCCAGATGCTGGCGAGCACACGGGCACGGCACCCGGAGGGAGGCGAGGACCACGCCAGGACCACCCTTGTGCTCCGCTGAGAAGCCACCGCGCCCGGGGAGCCTTTCCCATTTACCTCCCCGGAGCTGTGCTCAGAGCAGAGGCAGCCCCCCCCCGCGCTGCAGCCCTTCGGCCGGCCCCGAAAAGCCTCACCCACCCCAAACAGCGGCCAGAAGCGAGCAAGCGCTTGTAATGCCATTATTTCCAGCTCAGTGCAAAGCTCTCCGGGGTTTTATTTGTGCACGGACCCCAGCGAGGCAAGCGGCCACGGCCAGCTCACTCCTGCTGGCCACAGCATCCCTGGAGCAGGGTGGGTTCATCTTCAAGGGGGCTCAGGGAGAGGTAGGGAGCTGCCCGCACCCCACGGCCCCATCTCCAGTGAGAGCACCCATGGGAGCTGGCAAGGAAGGGCGAAGGGCAGGCGCAGTGGGGTAGGAGGGGCAGGGCTGGGGGCAGGTCACTCCCTTGGTGTAAAGGGCGAGTGGTGTAAAAGAGGCTGAGAAAGGAGGGGGGAAAAAAAAAAAGAGCATTTATTAACCAGGGTGGTGTCTCCTGGGGCGCTGCAGCCCGGGACCACAACACGGACAAGCACAAAGTGGGCAGTGGCCCAGCAGGCTTGCACAAGAGGGGGGTCTTACGTGACATGAGTGCGTCAGGCCTCAGCTCCGCTCCCAGTACAAAGGCAAACCAACAGCTTTAGCACCAAAAACACCGCAAACTGGATCCCAGGCTCATAAGGGCTGGAGAGCACGAACAGCCTTGCCAGCTCCCAAATGCAGCAGACTGAATCCCCCCCGTTTCACATCCTGGGCACCCCCATCCACCCCATCTTTCACAAAACCCCGCTCTGCTTTGGCAGCGAAGGCAAACCAGCTTCGAGCAGAGCTGCTAATAGCTGGGAGCAGAGCAGCCAGGCACCAACAACAGAGCCAGCAATTCTGACCATGAACGGAGCCAGAAATCTGCAGAGTTCACATTTTTTTGGCCCCGGCAGCATTAGACAGAACAGTTTCCCACTGAAAGCACCCAGCCAGCACTCCCGTCCCCCCGCCAGCACCACCAGCTCCTCCGGAGTTTTCAAATGCAAATGCAAGCTCCTTCCACGAAAGAGTCCAGAAATTGTTTCTAAATCATTAATATCGAACCTCCCAAAGGGCCAATTGTGCTCCCAGATCCGTACGTTCGGGGGCTCCGCTCCCCTGGGGTGATCAGGGCGCCGTGGGAAGGACCCCAGCCCTGAATCCTCCTTAGGGTCACGCGATGCTTCGAGCTCAGGGCAAACCGCGTGTCCTCCGGCACCTCCCAAAGTCACTGCACATGGATGGGGGCACTGGTCCTGTCCCTGGCTCCCAAAAGAACCAAGAGGCTTCTGCCAGCTCGTTATTTTTCGGCTGAGAAAACTGTGACAGAGTTTGCAGGGGAGGCTCAGGATGCCTGCTGATGGATGTCTGCTCTGGCCACGCACAGCCCCCCGCCCCTTTCTCCGTACTCCCTGAACCCCTCCTGGGCTGCGTGAAGAGGTGAGCGATGCTGGCAGCTTCACCCCAAGCTCGCTTTGAGCCAGTTTTATCTGTCACCCCCAAAATCCACACTCAGCGGCTGAGCCCTGGCACGTCCCCGCGGGGGTTCCCCGCCCCCCCACGCCGAGGGGGACGGGAGGGCGCAGGGCAGAGCGGTTAATGAGCTGCTTGGGCCCAGCAATTAGAAACAGGGAACAAAGAGCCGGCCTCAGCATCCGCCTGGGACACGGCCACTGGCACCCGGGGCTTTTTGTCCCTGCGCAGGGGGCCTGGGAGGAATCGGGGCCACCCGCACCTCCATCCCCCGTGGGGAATGAAGAAAAAAAGGATTTGAGGTCTGAACCCCTTCCCAGCAGGGACAGACTTGAAGAGGGGCAGAAGGTGGGTACATGGTCTGATAACAGCATTTGAGACCATGCCATGGGAGAGCACCCCTGGAGAAGAAAGGTCCCTTTAATCCCCCCCCAAAAAGCCCTAACAAGACTCAGAGCTTGCAGCAGAAGAAACAAAGGAAGAGTTGGGCACACGTTTTCAGGCTTGGGTAGCCAGGACAGGCAACTTTGGCCAAGCCATGGGAGGAACTGCTTTTAACCTCCCCAATTAATGGCTGCTCACAGGAACGCAGGGATTAGCAAGCCCTGCCCCCCCTTCCCCCTACAAGTGCCAACGGGCTCCCAGGAGCAGGGATCCACCAGGCACGGAGGTGACCGCCTGGTACAAGGGGGAGAAGCCCGAACGTGAGCAGAGCCATGCCAAGAGCAATTCATGATTTCTCCCATACACAAGGCCACACCAGACCCCATCCCAGTGCTCAGCACCATGGGCCATCGCCAACGCAGAGCGTGCACCAGGCTCAGCAGCAACTGCTGTGGCACTCCCAGTACAGCCCAGCTGGGCATTGCCATGCAACCAGTAAAGCCACATCTGGGTAGTGCAAGGCCAAATTGCCATCTTCCCACGGGCACTACGAGCTCTTGATGGCCCTGAGCAGCCTCAGCTGGGACCCACACCCCACCCATGGGCCCAGGAGGTTATTTAAGCTCAGCTGGGGGTGCTAGTCCTGGAGGATGCTGCTGGTCTCCAGCCCTGCTCCTGGCTGCCTCCTGCTGGACCTCACCCCTGCAAGCAGCTCCTGCTCCAGGTGGGTTGCTTGGGTGGGTGCTGGCACCCAGGGCAAGTCCTGGGTTTGGCATGATCTTCAGGGTGGGTGCTGGACTTGTGTTGCAGCCTTGTCTTTGTCCCTGTCCCTTTGGCTCCTGGTCACTTGATTCTGGATGTGTCTGGGGCTGCCAGCAGACCCTGCTGTTTGCTGGCCCTGGGGGGCCATGAAGGCGCTCCTGTGCTGGGGGTCACCCTGGGCTCCCACTTGCCTTCATCCCGTGGCCACCAGCCCCAGTGTGTCCTGGCTGGGGCAGTGCCTTGCTCGCAGCGCTCACTCAATGTGCGCTGCAGCAATGACCCTGTCCTCGTGCTGTGAGAGCACGGCCGGAGCAGGGGCAGCGGGGGGGTTACACCAGTGCTGCTGGCAGAGCCAGGCTTCATCTTGGGGCAGGTGGGGTGTCTGGCCTTGGTGTCCGGCCTTGGTTTGGACATGGTGAAGGGTTTTTCCACCTTGCTGGGCTGCTCCAGGTTTGGTGGAAGGTGTCTGACCCTGCCCAGGCAGCCCTGCTGCCAAATGCCTGCTCTGGTGTGGAGGGGGTGAAAAGGAGTTCCTAAAGCCCTCCCTGGGGGTACATGTGTCTGTCCTCACTGGTGGTGGATGCCTGTAGGTGGGGATGAGCTCTTCCCCTCCTACCCCTCGGATTGCAGCTCAGGAGATGTGCCAGCCCTTGTGGGTTTGGGTCTGTCCTTCCTCTCTAGCTGAAAGTGCGTTAGGAGATGCAGCTGATGCAGGCCACTGGGGGACCCCAGCTGTGGCCCCTCCAATCCCACCCTTCAGCTGCTTTGGGATAAGGGTGCAAGCTTTGTCTTCAAAGCCTCACTCAGGTTTAGGTGGTTATATGGGTTTTTCCAACCACCCTCAGCAAGGTTTGCTTTTTCTTATCTATTCCTCATGCGATGGTCCCGGTTTCTTCAGGCGCTGGATGCTCCACGGGCATGGGTACTCAAAGGCACAACTTCAACCAGCCAAACCTTCTTGTGGTGACCTGAGCCTTCCCGTTCCTCTGCACATCTACGGGGCGTGTTTGTAGGGTGAGCACAGATTCTGCTGGGTCTGGGAACATCAGCCACATTCTGGCATCGCTTACATGGGCTAAAATCCATGAGGTTTTGTTGTCTCCTGAGTGGAATTGAGGAGCCCTCGGTGGGATACCACCAGTGTCAGGCTGCAGGAGGAGGAGAACAGGAGCCACGAACTCAGCAGGACTTTCCTGGAGGTGGAAGGCAGGAGGAGTGGGACTGGCAGGGGGGGGGCCGCCAAGGTACGGGCACTGTCCCATCACCTATCTTTTCTCCCCGACTGCTGAGAGAAAGATGATATCTTGCCACACTGGGAAATGCCACCGGTGAAAGGCAGCAGTGAGAGCTGTCAGGCCAAGGAGAGACACGCGGATGAGGATGGTAACTGGGAATTGCCCACTTCTCCATGGCATGTAACTGCTTCCTGGGGTAGCACGTTGCAGTTTCCATAACACAACTGTCAAAGCTCCTCGGCGTCTCGCCGGGGTGGTGGCGCTGACCTCCCCAAGCTGCCTGTGCTCTGGGAGATGCCCAGTTCCCTGCCATCGCCCTGTCCAGCAGGGAGCAGCTCACAGCAGCCGCTGCCCGGGACTGCTGGCCCGCTCCCAGCCGCCTTCT